AAGTCGCCTCGTGGTTCCAATGCGGATCCGTGACGGGCGATTTCCCCCTGAAATCGTGACCCTCCATTGCGCTGTTGTTGCTGCTCTGGCGGCTCTTCATCGGAATCGCCAGCGGCCGCCCCGCCTCGCGCTCGGACTTCTCTTTTTCCTTCTCTCGGCGCTCGATGGACGCTTCTTCTTCATCCTGGGCACTCTTGGAGATGACCTCGTTCCACTCAAACACGCATACCACATACGGATCAAAGCCTGGTCTGAGACCGCGGGCTTCGGTAATCTTGACGTAGAGTTTTCCCTTAAGGGGGCCGACAGAGGGGCCAGGTTGTTGCTCCGCCTTCGGAGTCTCTGACGGGGAAGGAAACGCATCGTTGAGTTTGCCCGCAATTTCGTCGGCGGACGTAGCCATCTCGTCGGACTGTGGCTGCACCGAGGAAGGGTGCGACGATGATGATGATGACGATGTAACAGGCGGGTTCTTAGAAGTTTCGGACCCTTCGTTGGACATGGCGCGAGGGGTGAGAGGAGGTGTGTTCTTTGGACGAGAAAGATCAGACACGTTTCCAGTTAGCTTCGCGAGGTTCTCAGATGACATGGAGACATGTGGTTTCTCATGGTCAAGTAGGGGAGCTTCCGGCAGACTGACGGAATCTGCAGAAGCAGGAAGAGAAGGGTTGGAGAAGTGAGAGGCAAGGACGGGGTCGTCGGAGATGCTAGAGACTGGATGGGAAGTATGACGGCGTGCTTGAGGTTCAGGTGGAGTGGTGGTTGTGGACGGAGCGAGATAGCTCTTCAAAGTAGAGAAAAAAGAACCCATGCCCTTCTCGGGGGCCGAAGATGCCAGTTCGGGTTCCTCCGACTCTTTCTGCAAAAGGGAACAGGCGGAGGAATAAGGGGGAGTGGGCAAATTCGTAGGAGGCAGAGACCCCGGTGAGATTTCTTGCGTATCAAATTTCTTGTCTGGGCAATCCGAAGAGGCATTCATGTCCGAAGCCTCGTCGCGCTCCATCATGACAAACGATCCCGCAGAAGATGAATTATGTCCAGAGCCTTGACCATCCCGTGTATCTGTGGCATGTGCACCCGGCTGGATACCGTTGGTGGAAGCAAGAGTCTCAGAAGAAGGAAACCATGAATTGGAAGGGCGGTTGTCATCACTAGAAGAAAGACCAACCTGGAAATAAGTGTGCATGATGGATGGTTGGCGTTTGTCTGAGAGATCTGGCTTGGGGGTTGCGATGCCAGAAGGTGTCGACCGATTGGAACCAATCGTATCTTGGCTATCGTCGTCCTGCTGGTGGTTGCTATAGAGAGTTAGAAGCCGCGCACCAGAAGCTGTCAAAAGAACATCGAGTTTCAGGACTAAGAGAGCATGTGACGATGGCGCAACTAGCAACAGCCGGGCGGGAAATTCTGTTGCTGTTCATAAGTCTTGCGACAAGTCCCAAGGATGAGCAAGCCTGAGGCCGACAGAAATGGGGTGCGACGAAACAATGTGGTAAATCACTCTGCGGGGCCTTTTTTCCCTCTTTTTCTTTTTCTTTTTTTTTTTTTTTTGGCGAGGGGGGTTATATTGCTTGTTCAAATCCCAGATTTAGAAGCAGCTAATTCTTCCCTTCCCAGGTCGAATCGAAATACGGGGGAGACGAGACAACAGCAAGACAAATAAAGCAGATATTACTCACTTTCGCGATACCGGCCGCTTTACCAAATCCACATCACCAGGCAAATCTGTTCCGCTCTGAGCAGTAGCCATCATCGAGATTCCATTCGAGTCCAGAGGTGTTTGTCGAAAGCGAGCAGAAAGTATGAAGGATTGATGCAACTCGACTCGACTCAATCGAGATGGTGGGGTTGGAGGCAAAGAACGTGGCTGAGGTAGTTAGATGGAGTGAGGTTGTGTGTAGCGGAGCCGACAAAAAAAGGCTGTGACGACGTCGCTGGGCAATGACGAGCTAAGGAAGTTTGCGGGAAGGAGGATGGATCCGATCGGGTAGCGGAGAGCACCAAACAGGTTACAGTTGGTGCATGAGGTTTATTAGTTCTTTTCTTTTCTTTGGTGAGATGGAATCGTGAAAAGTTGGTGAAGAATAAGATCGAGGAGAGGAGCAAGACGAAGAAGAGAAGTAAGAAAAAAGGATTATTGCTTAGATAGTCAAAGGAGACATGTTTTGAGACTTCGGTTTCTTCTTAGGAGGAAAGGGTCGGAAAGGCTTCTGATTGATTGGGAACGGGGACAAGAAGTATGGGACCTGGTGGGTTGAGTTATTTCACTGTGTTCGAATCATATCGAGGAACATTATTACTCAGAGCACCAGATGGGCCACCACGGACAACTTGAGACTTGTTTGAGATTACGAGACAGCCTGGTAGTAAGAAAGAATGGCGGAGGCTGAGGATGATTATGAGTAATTATTATTCTTCAATAGTATCACCATTTGACGGGTGGCGTGGGAACAGAAAACGCTGAAGTCGCCATCCAATGTGAAGGACTTGGATCAGTCACCTGCAGCGGCTGAAAGGGGAATTACTCCGTATGAGAGACGGGCTGCACGAGGGATCTTGATTCAGATGCAGATTATAAACACTGGAAATGGATGGTAATCAGTAAGGGGGTACAGATACTTGTAGATACATGAGGGCTATGTAGTCATCGTTGAGATGGCAAGAATAAATAGGAGCATTACCTACCTGTTACAAAACATGGTGTATGTCATTGGTGAAATGGGTAACATAACCCTTAGAAGATCATAAGCATATGGAAACTCATCCATAATCTATCTATCTAAGTAGGGAAATTGTTATGAATATCTGACGATGATCTTCTACCGGAGTCAGTAGCCAGTCGGTATTCAGGTACTTGGAATCCTCACCGGCCTCAAGAGACATCAGGAGAAGATCATATTTGGGTACTGGAAAATGAGGCCTCCCCAAGTGGAGTTGGCATGAGCGAATGACTGCCTTTTGAATTGACCGAACCACAGGACGGGAGAGTCTTGGACTTAACCTGATCCATACCATGATACGATCAAAAATATGGTTGGGGTCAGCAGCCACAGGAGCCTGACCCTTCTGATAGTGGCGTGAATTAAATATGTCGGTGACAGGCTGATATGTCAATAATAGATGCAAGTTCGCGGACATCGCCGAACTGGTTCTATGCATAGCTTCCAAAATTTCAAGGCACTGATGGAGAGGTGCCTTGAAGCCTTCCTTTCGGCCGTACAGGTAGGTACCTGAATCTGCCTTCGGAAAAGAAAGTTTCCAAGTTCCAGTTGATATTATTGTGCCTTATCAATCCTTCCCCTCTTCCTCACGCATATCTACACTCTAGCCCTGCATCTCCGCCACTCGCGAACCCCTCCTTTACCAAGTCGATGTGGGGTATATCCGAGGAGTAGCAGTCGTTGTCACTGCGATGAAGGTCAATTCTAGTGTGCAGAGTGCAGTCTTGTTACTCGATGGACTCGCATTGTCATCCGTTCATACCTTCAAAGTGGACATCTGTAGATCCATCATGGCGGGGTTTGATAACAAGTCACTCCGCTATTTTCTCAACCATCGGATGAGCTCTCGCATTGGTATTAATTACTGAGTAATATTTGGCTGATCTCAGCTCAGCCAGGCTGACGGTTACACAACCAACCTGTTCTCACCTTCCTACAGGACTAAGCTCGAGATTTCCGCCTTCTGAGACCATACGCAGCCCTGTGGAGGGTGGTTACTCAACAGCAGACTGTTTCTCATGGCAACTGGCAAACCATCTGCACAGAGCTCACCTCACATAAGCTAGAAAACATACACTAAAATAGGCTGTTAAACAGTAAAACTTGATATTTCACTTTGGGCCACCCAAGGCAATGGTTCCCTTACATCTACCCATCATCTGTTCAGGGCAGCTGTTCAGTCTTCAGTAGATATAAAGCTACACTCCCAAGCTGTTACACCATGCCGGAGCAGCTGCCCGCTTCATGTGCCATTGAGATATCTGGTTTGACGAGAGATCAGCCGCTCATATCGTGCTCAAGCTTGAGCTTGCTATTGATCAGTACTTTTGTATTATCAAAACATTCCTGGGCTGTATGCACCTTGACACTCAAGCACTGGTACATGGCGATAGATTCCGATCGAACTCCCCCTCCCTATACTCCGTGGCATGTATCCCTCATTCCCGTCTATGCATGGACGCAGCCACCTACCACAACTCGCAGGAAAAGAAATCCTAAGAATGGTTTAGGCCAGACCCCTCACGGAATGTTACCTGCCAATAATTGCCTCGTTGAGAAAATCGCCAAAGGAAGCTCCCTCCCTCGGCAAGGAGGATCGTGCATGAGGACTATCTACTTGTACTCGGCCAAGAGGCAGGTCATCTGCAAGCCGCAGTTCTGTCGTGTAAGGGATCTGCGGCATGCAGAGCTCCGATAATACCCACGAATCATTGGCCAGTCACTGACAGTTGATTATTCGATGTTGAGGAGAATGATAACCTCTCTCAGCTGTTTTCAGTGGCGAAGATGGTTGATGCAAAGAAAGTCCCAGGACATCATCTTTTGTTTAAGCAAGAGTGCAGCAATCTGGATACCAATTACGATGCGTCAGGGTACGCCTGGTAAGCTGTCAACATAAGCTACGAGAGGGATCGACGAGATCCGGGTATAGATTCGACAGGCTTGCCTTAGGCAACACAGGACGAACGGTTATCTCGGTGAATGACATCATCGGGAAGGACGATTCCGAGCGGTATTATTATTAATTTAATAATAGTAGTTAATCTCCCGAGTAATGCCAAGCAGGCTAGGGCTTAGGGCTTCATGCTATTGGATCGCACGTGGTAATCGCAATTCCTGCCTGAGGCATCCAACGCGCGGCGCGCTGTTCGGAAGAAAAAAGATCCGTATAGCGCAATGGATCCCAGTAGTGAGGCTGTCCATGGGGATAGATCCGTCCGTTGCCAGCATCGGACCATCTCAAGCTTCACTGCATTGGACATCATCGCTTGAGCTACAATGGCGAGGAAATTGAGAGCAGCTGCGCAGGCAGCTGCCAAATCAATGAGTATGCTTGCCTGTTCTTTATTGTCTTCATCCCCTTGTTCTTCTGCTCAAAAAACAATTACCGCGCGAATCTAGGTACTAACCAGTCGATTGTAGAAAATGTACCGCCGCCGCTCCCCGACGCATCAGACGAAGAAATGGCAGACGCGCCCCCGTCACGCGAATCTTCACCGGCTGAGGAACCCGGCGAGCCCTCAGAAAAAGAGTCCGACGTCGAACCTCAACCAGAAGAACAACCCCAGGAGGAAGAGAAACCACCTGAACCAGCAACACCCGCTCCAGAAACCACCGCTCAGGAATTAAACCCTGTGTCGCAAGCAGACACACCCACGCAAAGCCTCGGCCGTATCTCAGCGATTCCGCGGAAACGTCGTCCTGGTCGTCCGCCCAAGAATCGTCCTCCAGACTGGGATGCGCCGGACGGCAGTGCGCCGCCGCCAGCGCATTCAGGCACACCAGCGAAGCGACGACGCGGTCGTCCTGCGGCTAGTGGTGGAAGATGGGCGCGCAACCGGGGCCCATCGCATGTCACGCAGGTACCGATCGACAAGGAAGGGAACATGATGGATGTCATCGACGACGAGGTGGCGCTTCCGCCCGACCCAGAGGGCGAGACCAAGGTCGACAAGAACGGCGTGCTCAAGGACGGCCGAGAATACCGTGTTCGGACGTTTACCATCCTCAACCGCGGAGATCGGCTTTACATGTTGTCGACGGAACCGGCACGCTGCATTGGATTCAGGGATTCGTATCTGTTCTTCCAGAAACACAAACTGCTGTACAAGATCATCATCGACGATGAGGCCAAACGCGATCTCATCGAGCGAGAGGTCATTCCTCACTCGTATAAGGGGCGTGCCATCGGTGTCGTGACGGCTCGGTCGGTGTTTCGTGAATTCGGTGCCAAGATCATTGTCGGTGGGCGAAAAATCATCGATGACTACAACGTCCAGGCCGCGAGGGAGCGTGGAGATGTCGAAGGCGAGCTTGCAGTCCCAGAAGACAAGCTACCTCCCCCCGGCGAGCCGTACAACAAGAACCAGTACGTGGCGTGGCACGGAGCCAGCAGCGTCTACCACACCAACGCCCCGTCTCTTCCGCTACCCACCGGCAAGGCAATCGACTCGAAAAAGCGCAAGGTGACTGTGACTGGCGATAACTGGATGCTTGAGCATGCTCGGGAGGCCAGGTATGTAACCCCCCCATCTTCCGTCTGTTTGTTTAGGTGAATCACTAATGCTTTTTACTAGTTCCTTCAACTCACTGATCCTCCACGCGCGCCGCGCGAATCTGGAAGGTGTCTACGACATCCACACCAATGCTATCCACTATCCTAAGATCATGCAGCCATCGCACGCCCGCTGGGAGCATGTCCCTCCCCCGGACCCGCGGGTCACCGCCAGACTCGCCAAGGGACTATCCACGTTGAGCCTGACGAACGGAACGGACGAGGCCGAACCACCAGCCGACCATACCACCGAAGAGACAGACACCGAGCCCCAAGCCACCTTCTCCACGATTCCGCCCGCGCTCTCCCGCCGGTTCGCAATCCACGACACCGTCTTGGAAACGCCCCCGTACTCCAACATGGGCATCCCCGGCCCGGACGGCGACGTGCACGATCTCGGCAGCAACGGCCTCATCAGCACCGCCGACTCCCTGCACCCGGAATTCGTCGGCCCAGAGATCCTCGCGGAGCTGCCACCAGAGTGCAAGGAGGCGCTCGTCGAAGCGGCCGCCCGCGAGTGGGAATGGAAGTCGAAATGGCGCAGCGAAGCGATAGACGGGCAACGCACGACGCCGCTGAAGAGCTATGCCTGGTTTCCGTAGTCTTCCTTTCTTCCCATTCTTGCTGCACTTCTGGTCATTATCCTCATCCTCGTCCTCATCTTCTCTATGTTATCACGTCGCAATCGTATCTGGCATGGGCAGGGTTTGTATTTCTTCAACGGAAAGGAGAACAAAAGGTGCTTTTTCTTTTATTTTACGTGTGTTAAATGCCTAATCTATCTTTTTTACTTTTATAGCGGTAGGGTCTGGGTGTGATCGATCACTTATCAGATAGAAATTCTATTCCTTCTGATATCGGATCGGATATATATTGGCCTCGTAGACTCATTTCCTTGAAATGCAGCTGCAGAGTGTATTGTATCTATGCGCGAGACCATTACCTAACGGCGTACTAGAACAGATTCAATCCCGATCGGGTAGACAAATGAGATGCTAATCAAAAGGACATAAGACTTCGTTCAGCCAGCGGGTGGGGACGTAATATGACAGAGAAAAGTCGCGTAGCTCAAAGCAAACCGATTTACGCCGACTGGATAACTGGAAAGGAAAAGCAACGGAAGCGGGGGGAGAGAGTAAACGCAAACTCCAGTCCATTCAGGTATATGCATGACTGCTAAGAGGATGTGAGGAGGGAAAGACGGTGGGGAGACAGATGAAGTGCTCGGGTTCAGCTCATGGCCATCTCCGCGCGCAGCTTCTCCAGTTCTGCCTCCTCGTCTTCCTCTTCCGCCTGCTTTGTTTTGGCTTCGACTAATAGTATTGCATGGTTAGCTGGGCCCGTGAAAAGTCGACTGGTGGGTGCTTACGCTCTCTGTTGCCGGCGGCAGGTAACCGGTTGAGATCGGCGACGGGCACCGACCCGGTCTTGAGCATGCGCTCGTCCATGACCTCCTGTTCGAGACCCTCGAGTTCCGCCTCCAGTTCGGTCTCGTCGGGCTGCTCGCCCAGAGGGTTGTTCGTGATGACCTGTGCGATTTCCTCGCTGAGTTGGTGTTGTTCCCGGAGTTGATCCCTATTCAATCAGCATCTGCCTGCCCGATGTCTACGGCAAAAAATACATACATCGTCTCGTCGACCTTGTCGATCGTCATCGAACCATGGATCTGTGTCATGGCAGCACCGGCCGCCTTCATTGCGTTCAGCGTCTCCTGGTTGATATTCGCCGCTTCGATCGAGTAGATCTGCTGTTCGAGCTGGGCGATCTGCGCGGTTGTCTGTTCGAGGTTCTTCTCGTGGACCTTTTTCCTTCGCAGAGCGGCTTTGGCAGCTGTGGCAGACAGTCAATCTTGTGTTCCCTGATAAGAACAAAACCCCAAGGCAACACGCACCATTCTTATTTGTCGAGACGTTCTTTCGAGCGACTGCCTCTTGTTCCTCCATCAGATGCTCCAGGTGCTTTTCTCTCTTCTGCAGCATGTCCAGCTGCTCTCGCAGCAGGAGGATCGCGTTCTTGGGCGCATCCTTGCGCTTCTGAGCGGCAGCACCGCCGAACCAGGACCACATTATGACTAAGAAAGTATTGTTCAATTCTTTATAATTCGGTATGGTAAAGTCTATGCGAGATAGACCTTCGTCGAGGCTTATCGTTGGCCTTGATATGTCTGGAAAGCGGTCGAAGGCGGTGGAGGCAGACAACGGCCAGATAGAGGAGGGGTTTATTGGATTGACCGAAAGGAGTGGGTGTCAGAGATGTAGATATAGACTCCGCGATAGGGTTATCTAGTAATGGAAGATACAAATGAACTAAAATGGCCGTTGCCTGGTTGCAACCAACAGACAATAACAAGCATGCGTAATTGATATCTAGGCAGAGAGCAGAGGGCGAGATGATTCCCCTCGTCACGGCGGAAGATCCCATGACATACGCGCTAAGCCTATCGGAGGTGGGCCGTCACGTGGTATCTCTACAGATGAGATCCCCTTCATGATCGGAATCGACACTTGTTTTAAATTCATCCTCAGATCATACCCTAGTGAGAATGAACTGGCTGTAGGATCGCCGAGGGATGAACGGCCCTCTCCCCTCCACCCGAGCCTTTCTCTCCGACCTCCCTTCTCTCCCGACAGGCTCCAAAGTTCGCTTTCTCGGTTGGTGCGTCTCACTATACATTTGCCTATAGTCTTCTCTACGACATTAGCATGTCGACTGCACTCCGTAATTTAGCTGATACGCTTACAGCGTGAGAACCTATCACATCCCTTCGGGTCACCTAATCCTAGAACACGACTATCCCCGCCGTAGATTTTCCTCCAACGCAGGACCAGAACCCGCCTCTGTGGCCGTCGATGTCAACGCGGTTCTGGAAGCTGTGACGGCGGAGGAACTGCGTGTCGGGGCTTGGGTCAATGTCGTGGGTTATGTGAGGAGCTGGGGCTCGGACTGCAATGATCATGATATCCTCCGCAAGCCGAGGATGTCGAGTCCAGTGTATGTGGAGGCCGTGATGGTTTTCTCAGCAGGTGTGGTTGAACTGGGCGAGTATGAAAGAGTTCTGAGGGAAGCGTTGGAGGTCGAGCGGAGGATTTTGAGGCCAGATTGAAGTCGACTGTCGGTGAGTCTTGTTTGGTTTTGATTCGTTGTGGTTGGTATCATTAAACATAAGTCATATTTAGGTTACCTGCTATGCTGAATGAAATATGCCGCCTCTATGCATGGGTAAATCACTTTTCCAAGACATTGTGTTGAGAAGACTAAACTTCCATCTTCACCTGCTCCGCTGCCGCGCTGGGTTCAACGCGCTGAACCAGGCGTTTCCGCTTCCCTTCCAACCGCATCTGATCCATTTGCATGCGCATAATCAGCGCGCTCTTCCGGCGGATTTTATACCCATACTTGTAGAAAACAAACGGAATCGGGATAATGGCCACTTCGAGCAATCCTAGCAGCGTCCCCGACCAGTTGGGCCCGATCCCTGCGTACATATACGAGCCCACCAAGGGCAACACGCCGCCCAGGATACTCCGAATGACAGAGTTACCCGCCATGGCCGACGCGGCGTACACCCCGTAACTCTGCGCGAGGTAGTTGGATGCATAGATGAAGACGCCGGTGTTGCCGGCGCCGAAGAGGACGCCTGCAAGGATGGGGACGACCCAGTGGATGGACGCCGGGGCGCAGGTCCAGGCGAACCAGAGCTCGCCGGCGGGGATGAGGACGGCCGAGATGCAGACGATGGACACCATGGCTTCGGGGGACACCTTGCCCGTTTCCGGGTCGATTTTGTGGCTGTTGATCAACCGGCGGATCAGCGGTTCGCAGGCGATGGTGATGAGGCAGCCAATGCCGATTCCGCAAAAGGCAAGTCCGGAGAGGCCCAGGGACCAGCCGCGGATCTGACGGAAGACGATCGGATAAGCGGTGAAACAGAGGTAGAGAATGCCGTACACGATGGCGATGTAAATGTTCCAGAAGATACTGCCAATGTCAGATGTGGAACAAGTCCTAGTGTGCAGGGTCAAGCTCACCAAATGGGTTCGGTGACCGCCATGACAAACGGACGGCCCAGGTTCAGCTTCAAGAGCTCTCCCAGACTCATCTTCTGGTCGTAGCGACTCCACCAGCGTGATTCACCCGTTTCTTTGCGGAGTGTGGCCGCCTTGTTCTGCAAGATGACAGGGCTATAGGTTTCTCTCATGACGCACGAGAGGCCCAGCGCAACACCGGACAGTATGAGGGCAATCCAGTCCATCCACCTCCAGCCCAGATACTGCGTCACGAAACCGCCAATGATCGGACCCAGCACTAGTGTTCTAGTCAGCTCTGAGGTGCAGTTGTCCAGCAGGCGGGCAACAACGAACCTGGGCCGTTCACAGGACCAATACTCCAGATAGACATGGCCAGAGCTCGCCTGTCGTCTTGCACCAGGTCGGCAACCATACCGGGAGCACTAGAGATCATGACACTGCCGAAGAAGGCGCCAATGAAGCGGACGATGATGAGTACCTCGACGGACTTGCTGAGCGCACAGGGGATAACCAGGACGGTGAATACAAACAGACAGCCGATCGAGACCGGTTTGCGGCCGTAGATCTCGCTCATCGGAGCCATGAACATCGACCCGATGGCTAGACCAAGAAGGTAGAAGGTCAAGCCCAGAGTGACGATGGTCTCTGACGTGTGGAACTCGGACGCGATAGTTGCTACGCCAGAGGTGTAGGAAGTCGAGTAGAGGACCCTGGAAATAGGTGAGTCAGTTGCTTCTCAGCCAAAATGACGAGCCGACACTCACACAATCAATGTGTTAAAGGACAAGAACGCCACAGCCATGGCCTTGTATCGGAACGACCAATTCTTCGGGTTCGCTTGATCGTCGTCACCCTCATAGTCAACCTCGAAGTTGGGATCCGTGGTGCCAGTGGTACCGATCGAAGTCACTTTTCTTGTCAGAGACGGCTCTGACAGTCGCGATGCTCGTGTGTTCAGTGTCCGCAGCGCTTCCAATTGGTCGATTGTGTCGTCGGAGGTGGTTGACTCGCCGATGGACTCTACATCTGCCGGCAAGGCTTCTTCCTGGCTGTGCTCGAGCAATTTCTTAGGTTGCGACATTTCATCTGCCTGAATTGAGATGGGATCGACTGGTCCTGTTTGTTGAGTCTGCGTCTCGGTTGGGAGTGGGACCAAGGCGATATACGGGGCGTGCGGGAGTTGGTTTGCCGTACAGTCGCCAATATTGATTCTTTTGGTTATATAGTTTCAATCACTCATTCTGCGCAATGCAAGTATGATCTTCGTGGGTATATATGCGAATATTCAACGTTTGCTGGAATGGAGCAGAAGGTGTTGAGGTCTATATGCAGAGCGAATGAAGCAATATGTAGCTATGATACGCGACTCGACCTAAAAACAGACAGGAAAGCGAGACAGAATTCGAGGCAGAGCAATTAAAGAGGAATGATGGACATTATAATTTCGCAGGTGTGAAGCGACAGAAACGATGAGTGGTAGGGGAAAAGGGCCGGTGGGGCCTCAGGTAGAAACCGACATGCAGACTAGAAGAAGAAGAGGACTAGACTCTGAAATGACTCAAGACGATGGATATATCGAACGGTAGACTACCGAGTTGGCTTGTTCTAGGACGAGTTTAGATTTAGAGATATACTGGATGATTCTGATTAGATAGTTGGGAGTGAAGAATAGAGATATCGACATCTGCGGCGTTCAACCTCAAGGGCTATCTAGATACTAGGCTATCTGCTTGCTACTTGTTGGACCGACACAGTTAGAGACCGAGGCCAAAAGTGCTTGGACGTTATAGTTTCGGTTGGTAATGTCGGCAACAACTTAGTTGTCGCCCCCCCGCCCCGCATGGTCGAAACCCATGTAGGTAGTCTAGTCATAAAAGAGTCAAGATGCCCACGAGACTGGTAGCCAAGAAAGTGATTGATCATCGTCCAAGTGGCAGTATGGTGCAAGATTGGGCTCGGAATGAATTCCGCGATAGCAGAGTTAGTTATCGACTTTCTAGAGTCCAGATTGGATACTTCAATTACACAGTCCGCCGTGATCGAAAGAAGGTTATCAATGACCCCAGATATCCGGATTCCAGAATACGCTCCACCGTCCCAATCCATAGTACAGACTGTACAGTAGATAGATACTCCATATTGAGTTGGAGACACAGAGTCTGGAAAGATGTGACTTTACTACAGTACTCAGCCTTTCTCCGCTGAGAGGACTCGTTTCCCGTTCACTCTGTCCACTTAGAAATGCTAGCCGGTTTGCCGCGTTGCCGGTTTGCCGATAAAAGGAGACGTCCACCATGACTTGGCGTAGCAAAGGCAATAAGGCATCAGTATATGCACCGTTGGGTATGATTCTTAATCTCAGATGGTCATCAACTGCTCTACGAAGTAAATCAAACCAGTTTGCGCCTTGGGATATCTATACAGTACATGTTTTTAGCATGATGGTCAGTCACTTTACTTGGTACTTATAGCTCAAGGGTGCTACAGAGCTGTCTGTTCCCTTCACAGAGTACTAAGAAGAATTTATAGACAGAAATACTCTCTCTCTCTCTTAAATAATCAGCAGTTCAGCACCACTGAATGAGAACCTGCACTAGTACATTGTATAGAAAGAAGGCTTTGGCATCATCAACAATCACCACGTTCATGATACAGTGTAAGATACCGTAACATCAAAAATGGAGCAAAAAAACTCTAAGCAATCCATTTCCCCACAAAGTTCAGCCAATCAGCATTGCTCCTGTTTGAAACACCGCTCTTCTATGGTAAGGTACCTAAAGATACCTGTATTTATACTTTCTATCACTGAGGGGTATCTGGTAGGTACTTTAGGCAGGCATCTAATTTATACCTGATCAAGAAACTCACAGACACGCCAAGGCATGCTTTAAATATTATAGAGATTGCAGCACGACATCAGAATCATAGACATGGAATTTCTTCAACTTGTAATGTTCAGGGGCAGCGTACTGTCGTACTACCTACAGTACTGCTGTACTGTATGTACTATGTTGCACTTGAGCACGTGGAGCGGAATC